ACTCTAGAGTGCAGTGGCATGAACTCAACTCACTGCAACCACCACCTCCCCAGTTCAAGCAATTCTCCTGTCTCAGCGTCCCTAGTAGCCGGGATTACAGGCATGTGCCACCACACCTGGCTAATTTTTGTATTTTTAATAGAGATGGAGTTTCACCAGGATTGCCAGGGTGGTCTTGAACTCCTAGCCTCAAGTGATCCACTCGAAGTGCTAGGATTACAGGCATGAGCCACCATGTCTGGCTGATAACTATTTTTAATGTTTTGAGAAACAACCAGACTGTTTGAAGTGGCTGTACCATTTTGCATTCTTAATGGCATTGTATGATGTTTCTGATTCCTCTATATCCTTACCAAGACTTGTGATTATCCTTATCCTTCTTTTTTTTATTAGACCTATATTAGTGATGTGAAGTAATATCTCATTGTGGTTTTGATTGGCGTTTCTCTGCTAGTTAATGATGTTGAGCATCTTTTCATGTGTTATTGGCCTTATGTATATCTTCTTTGGAAAAATGTCTATTCAGATCCTTTACCCATTTTTAATTGGATTATTTGTCTTTCCATTATTAAGTAAGAATTCTTTTGTTTTTTGTTTTTTGAGACAGGTTCTCCCTCTGTCACCCAGGCTGGAGTGCAGTGATGCGATCACAGCTCACTGCAGGCTTGACACCCCTGGGCTCAAGGGATCCTCCTGTCTCAGCCTTTCAAATAGCTGGGACTACAGGTGCATGCCACCAGGCCCAGTAGAGACAAGGTCTCCCTGTGTTGCCCAGGCTTGCCTCAATTGATCCGCCTGCCTTCACTTCTCAAAGTGCTGGGATTACAGGCATGAGTCACCACACCTGGCCAAATGAAGTCATAATTCCTTCTTTTTTTATTTTTATAGTGACAGGGTCTTGCTCTGTCAACCAGACTGGAGTGCAGTGGCAAAATCACGGCTTGCTGCAGCCTCAAATTCCTGAGCTCAAGTGATCCTTCTGTCTCAGTCTCCTAAGTAGCTGGAACTACACGCATGCACCACAATGCCTGGCTAATTTTTTCTTATTTTTTTTAGAGATGGGGTCTCACTATGTTGCCCAGGCTGATCCCAAACTCCTAACCTCAAGTGATCCACCTGCCTCAGCCTCTTAAAGTGCTGGGATTACAGGTGTGAGTCACCGTGCCCAGCCTTTTCTCTCATTCTGTGGGTTGTCTTTTCACTGTTTTGATGGCATCTTTGAATCACAAAATATTTTAATTTTGATAAAGTCTAATTTATCTTTTTTGTCACTTTTGGTGTAGTGATTATGAAGATTTACTCCTACATTTTCTATTAAGTAGTTTATGATTTTCTCTCTCACATTTAAGGCTTTGCTCCATTTGGAGTTAGTTTTGTGTCTAGCATGAGGAAAGTGGTCCAGTGCTACTCTTTTGCATGTGGATTTTTAGTCGTCCTGGCACCATTTGTTGAAAATCCTGTTTTTTCCTGTTTAATTGTCTTGGTATCCTTGGTGAATATAGCTGACCATAAATGTAAGGGTTTCTTCTGGATTCTAAATTAAATTTTGTTAATCTGTATGTCTGTCATTGGGCCATTACTACGCTGTCTTAAATTCTGTACCTTTCTAGTAAGTTTTTAATTCTGGAAATGGTAGTCTTTCAACTTTGTTTTTCCTTTCAAGATTTGTTGGTTATCCTGATTCTCTTATATTTCTTATGAATTTTGGGATAAGCTCTTGTCAATTTCTACAAAAAAAAAAAAAAACCAGCTAGGATTTTAATACAGATTATGCTGCATATGTAGATCAATTTGGGAGTATTGTCATCTTAACAATATTAAGTCTTCTAATCCATGAACTTAGGATACCTTTTCATTTGTTTAGGTCTTCTTCAGTGTTTTTCAATAATGTTCTGTGGTTTTCTTTTCTTCTTTTTTTAAAATTGGAATGAGGTCTTTCTATGTTATCCAGGCTGGTCTTTAACTCCTGGGCTCAAGGAATCCTCCTACCTTATCCCTGCAAAATGCTGGGATTATAAGTGTAAGCCACCATACCTAGCAAGTAAGAATTCTTTAAATATTCTGGGTACAGGTCTCTTATCAGTTATATAATTTGCAAACAGTTTCTCTCTCTCTCTTTTTTTTTTTTGAGACATGGTCTCGCTCTGTTGCCCAGGCTGGAGTGCAGTGGCACAATCACAGCTCACTGCAGTCTGAAACTCCTGTGCCCAAATGGTCCCTATGCCTCTGCCTTACAACTAGCTGGAACTATAGGCACACACCACCACATCTGTCTAATTTTTAAAAAAATTTTTAAATTTTTTGTACACTGCACTCCAACCTGGGCAACCGAGTGAGACCCTTCTCAAAAAATAGTTATGTATATAGCAATTACGTTTCTATATATTAGCAATTAACCTGAAAACAAAATTTTTTAAAAAATTATATTTACAATAGCATAAAAAAGAATAAAATATTTAGGAATAAGTTTAAAAGCTCTATAAAGCTTATACTTTGAAAACCACAAAACAGTCCAGGCATGTGGTTTATACTCATAATTCTAGCACCTTGGGAGACTGAGGTGGGAAAATTGCTCTAGTCCAGGAGTCTGAGACCAGCCTGAGGCAACATAGTGGGACCTTGTCTCTACAAAAATATATATAATCAATTGTATATTGATCTTGTATTCGGCAACATTGCTGAACTTGCTTATTTGTTCTAATAGTTTTTTTTGTGGATTTTGTAGAATTTTCTCCATGCAAGACTGTGTCACCTGTAAATAGAAATAGCTTCACATTTTCCTTGCCAATTGGATGCCTTTTATTTCATTTTTTTCACCTAATTACCCTGGCTAAAACCTTCAGTACAATATTGAATAGAAATGTCAAGGACAAATATCCTCATCTTGTTCCTGAACTTAGGGGGAAAGCATCTGGTCTTTCACGATGTAGTTTTCTGTTGATACCTTTTATCAGATTGAGAAAGTTTATTGAGTTTTCATTATGAAAAGGTGTTGGATTTTGTCTAATGCTTTTTCTATATCTGAGATGATTATGTGGTTTTTGTCTTTTATACTGTTGATATTTGCCTGTTACATCAATTAATTTTTGGATGTTAAACCAACCTTACATTCCTGTGATGAATCCACTTCTTTTTTGGGTGACTCTATTCATTGGATTATGAGCTCCACCACTGTTAGGGCCAGTGTCCCCAGGGGCAGATGGGGGTGGGTATCCCTAAGTCTCTCTTTATTCTGCTCCTTCATTCCCCTGAGTTCCCCTCTTCTATTCTATCTGAAAAGACAAGGACGGGAAGCCAAGGCAGAAGAT